GGGCTGGGGGGTGCGTGGCGCTGACCCGGGAGCACGCAGGAGTGTCCGCGGCAGGTGAGCATCTGTCCGGGTTTGAAGGCGCCCTCGGCCCAGGGAGAGGCCGCTAGCGTCCCTCCGGCGCTCTGCTGCGGCTCTTTCGGAAAACGTCCCCAAATATCACCTGTTTTTGCCTTCACTGTCAGCAAGTAAAGGGTGACACTTCTTTCTAAGGAAACTGAAAGAGTTTAAATGAGGGATCATATTATTCAGCTTGACACCAAGGTTATTTTAGTTTATAAGCATTAGACAGATGGGATATTTGAGATAAACCCAAAGATACAAATAAATTGCACTTAAAAAGAGTTCTGCTGCTTTCCCCACATCTAAGTTCCCAGAAAAGTGAGTGTGGAAGCAGAGGCAGAGGAAAACAGAAAACAGCTGACCGGACACTGCACCAGTCCAATGGCAGGGCTATAACTGGCAGAGCCTTTCTGATATCAGTTTGGCCAAAGAAATTAAGAGCTTTAAAAATATCCAAATCATTTTAATAAGTTATTTCACCAATAAGGATCTATCCTGAAAAAATAACTAGAAAGCCAAAGATTACCCCCCAAAATGTCACTGATGCTTTTGAATAAAGTAGTGATCACTTGAGAACAAACTAAATGTCCAACAGTAAGAAAATGCTAAAATAAATGAGAGACAAAACAGAATTACAGACAATCATTATAAGCATGTTTTTCAAGTCTAATAACATGGGAAGATATTCCAGTTATAATGTTACATGAAGAAAGGAGAATACATAGACATTGGTATGGGGAAGGCCTGGGGGTGGAGTAGATGTGGGGCCCAGGGGATCAATGGGGGAAAAAGAGAACATCTGTAATAAAAAAAAGAAAAAAGAAAGAAGACCACAAAGTTATATATGCAGTATGATTTAAATTCCATTAAAAAGACAAAGTGGAAATGCACTAAAACATAAACACTGTTTATCTTTGTGTGATGAGAATTTGGATGAGTTTGTTTTTCTGTTTACAAGTGATAGGATAATAAGTGAGTTATGAATTGCTCTTTATTTTCCTAGCATCAGCAAAACAGGACAATACCTAGTGTTTCAGAAATTGTCACCCATGGAAGATCCAAGAGCAAAGATTCCAAAATAAATGATCCTTGTATAATACAGGAATGATCAGAAAGGCTGATCAAACAGAGCTTGCCTTCCTCCCCCACCCTCCGGTTGGGATGGCAATAGAACCATCCCAAGATCAGTGCAGAAATCCCAGGGCAGAGGGGACCTGGGCCTCACCATGGGGACGGGGGAGGAGAAGGGACACACAGATAGCACAGGGAGACATCACAAGGCATGGAGGGGCCCCCTGAGTAGCAGGTGACACCGCTGCAGTGGTAGGCCATGACTGCACGGGGGTGTCTAGGCAGATGAGCTTGAAAGCAGCTTTTTTAGGTCCCCACACCATGGGTGAACACAGCAGCTAAATTTTCCCAAGTTTAAGGAGAGAGTAGCACTTAGGTGAGAGAAGTCTAGAAAGGGTTCCACAGGTGGATGTGACTAAGGACAGATGAGACAGATGATAACAGCATCGGCCCTTGCAGGCTAACTAGGCAAAAGAGAACGCTCCTTTCTGCCTTTACTAGCGCAGTATTTGTGGAAGTCACCCCGTCCCCAGTTCAGGCTTGCTTTTAACCCCAGAGGGAGAAGAAGCATGTGAGGGGCAAACACTCCTTGGTGGGGCTGGGTTTCAACCCAAGCACCTGGAAGAACAAGTTACATGGAAGTGATTAAATCTTCACAAAAGGGGGCTCAGAGTCAGAAACTCAATTGTGTGGTGGAAAATAAAGTTAGATTTTATATACCAGAGCTTATGACATACGAAATATTCACTCACTGCATATATTTTTGTGATTTTCAGATTTTTTACTAATGACCGTATTTTGTATTTTAAAAAATCATTTAAAAAAAGAAAGAAAAACATAGCATCCACAAAAAGTTGCTCATAAGTCAAGACCCTGAAGAAAATGGGGCAGAGTCACCCTCGGTTCTGAGGATCATCTTGGCCACAGTTCCTTTTGTGTCTCTAAGTGCCAGGATCGCCCCCTCACAGAGAACCTGGAATCCTGACCACACCTCTGAACTTCTGTCATTAAGAACCTTTGCTAGAGTAGGAGCAGCAGGGAATAAATGAGAAACTAGTCCTTCTGGCTACTTCCTGTGCCTTTCACACTACTCCCTTGTCTCCCTTCCTCCCCCAACAAGTCAATATTAGTCAGCTCCCCTGTAGAAGGCCCCCTCTTTTTTCAAAACCAAGTTTTGTTCTCTGAAGCAATAGCAAACAGAACAAATCCACCCACACACAATGCTGACCTCGAAATGTTTGAAGAACATGTTGGTCCCCATGTTAGGGCTTCCTTGCTCCAGGCTAATCCAAGCCTGGTCCTGGGCTCTGGCCAGAAAGACTAACTCTAATTCTGCTAAGGCTTCAAAGGGCACTTAGGAGGCATGCTCTCAGCTGCCCCTGCGGTGTCTCAGCCTGCAGCGGGGGACTCAAACCCAGAGCTTTGCCAAGTGAGTGGCTGTTAGCCCAGGGCTCCCCTCTGCTGCACTTACGCATTTGCTGGGGACTTGGGCTACGGGGGGCACATGGCCACTGGTGCCAATCACACCCAGCCACCCAGGAGACCCAGGTCAGTCTGCCTGTGCTGTCACCTACAGGGCCCTGGCAGTGAGGTCTGGAGCCAGAAGGATGCGAGAGTGCAGAACTCCATATTGCTCCGCTGGCAGTAGCCCTCCCCCGCTCTGCTTTGGGAATCTCCTCTTCTCACCCCCATTCCCCACTTTAGGCAGAAACATCTCCCTTCTTTCCTTCTTGTCTCCAAGGATCTTACCCAATATCTTGGCATGTCCCGTAGCCCCCTTCTCACTCTAGAGCATCTATCCCTTGCTACATCTGTGGGCTTTGTTCTCCCTCCAGGACCCCTTTCAGAGGAGATAACACTCCCTGACATTAGAGGATTTTGTCAAATTGCTGCACATCCCCCTTTCCCCTCACAGACCCCATGGTGTGCTCAGGTCACAACAGAAGGCACTGCCTCTGCTGCCAAACCCACAGCACCCTGGGCTTGCCATGCCAGCCCCCCTCGCCTCCTTGCACACCTCATCCCCTCAGCCTCCTCTCTGCTGCTGTTACCATGTTGCAAAGCTGACCCTATCCCTAGAAACATTGATTTGGCAGGTTTCTTGGGGGCCAGCAATGTCCTAACCTATTTGTTTTTCCAGGGCTGATGTTTGCAGGAATTTTCTTGGAACCACAACAGAAATCATCCCACATCTTTATGCAATTCCTCTGGGAGGTCTCGACAGATAAATAAAGCCCTGGGCCTGTCCACGGTCTACCTTTCCTGGCAGAGCACCTGAGTGTCTCCTGAAACCTGCAGCACCTGCCCACCTGCCAGGGCCTCTCTGGAGCAGCCATGAAGTCCCTCGTCCTGGTCTTTTGCCTTGCTCAGCTCTGTGGCTGCCACTCTGCCTTGCTTCCCCCAGATATGGTTCCTAGAGTACTGAACTGTGATGACCCAGAATCAGAGCAAGCAGCCCTGGTGGCTGTGGACTACATCAATAAGAACCTTATTAGAGGCTACAAGCACACCTTGAACCAGATTGACAAAGTGGAGGTGTGGCCTCGGGTAAGTGAACCTGCTGTGTATGAGCTGAAAGAACCTGTTTGTGGAGCTTAACTGGGTGTCTCAGAAGATCACATCTCTCAGCACAATGGAACCACAGAGGGCTAAACTCTAATTTCTTTCCAGAGGGAGGGAGGGGGCAGGTGCAGGGCAAGAGAGGACACACCCTATTCTGTAGCCATGGGTCTCAAGGAAAGTAAGTGCTGGAGGTTGGGGAGATTTCTAGAAGAAAAGGATATTTTGAAGATTGAAGGTAGAAAGTGCGGCTTGATAGAAAATGCAGGATGCAAGAGATTGAATTCTAGTTGCCAAATTATCACTGACTGGAAATCACTTATCTTGCTTTTCTTCTATTACCTCTGGATGAAGACTGAGAATGAATGAAACTAGCTTTTGGCAGTTTACCTACTATATGCCAGGCCCTTTCATATATGTTATCTGCTTAGCTCCTCCCACCCCTCAGTTCTGTGTGGTAGGTATTTTCCTTGTCTTACATAAGAAGAAACCAAGGATCTTATGTAAGAAGAAACCAAGGCTCCCCCC